GAAAACAAATATTATTGTGTTCACAAAAAATGTTGTATGGATAAAAGGCATCACTTAATTCCCATACTCTTTGGAATACCCTGTATATTAAACCCTTTTTTACAACCTGAACTGCCTTTAGGCTGATTTACTGCTGATAAGTAGTAAACAGTGGACTGCATGAGTTATATGAGGCTCAATAATAATTCTAAAATCAAGTAAAAATTCAAAATGTCAAGGGCTTCTTCTCTCATCTAATATTTGCATAAGTTAACAATAAAATGTCTTCAACAATCTTTAATTATACTCAATTTTTTTTCTTCGAAAAAATATTCTATTTTTATCTTTAGCTTAAAAGGATAGATACGTATACCTCTTAAAATTATCGTAAAAACATGAAAAACTTATGTTAACAAATACACGTCCAAATTGGAAAATTTACGTTTTAACATTTTCTTGGTTTGATGTTTCCATATTATATACGAACAGTTTCCATGTAAGAAATACAATAAATACACAGTAAAAATATGTTTTTGAGTAAAATGGCGGTTATTTATTGCGCGCATCCATATTTGACATCAAGGACCAAATATTTCCCCCTAGTTGCTCCACCGATATTTCTTTGTGTTTTTTATTCTATGTACTCGGCATATTTTGTTGATCAGAAAACCATAAACATTTTTAATCCATAATTTGGGGAATCAAATAACTTCAAGTGACCTTTCATGCAAAGATAGCAATGCCCGATTTACATTCGTACCCTTGAAACCCTAGTCTGATCAAAAATGTTGAAGATAACGTCGATTTTCCGAATCAGAAACTGTTTAACTCGATAATATCTCCATTGTTTCTTATAAACAAGAAGAGAAACCACAACATGAAAATAAACAGTTTAAATAAACAAATACGTGATATCTAATGCATATTTGATCAGACAACGGTTTAAATAGAGAGTACCGTTGTAAATCGGACAAATTCATGGCATCTTTGCAGGGAGGGTCAACATATAATTTACACTTACAGTCCCTTTAAACATTTTTAATTTTGTTTCAACAGAGGTCAGGAATTTTATATTGTGAATTCCTATAATAAACACCTTATTCGTATCATTGTTGGCTAATAGATTGAGATAAATTCGTCTTTTAAAAATATCGACAAATAAGAACACGTTTTGGCCCATGAGAGTTTGCATAACGACTGCAGTCAGCTTTTTTGCGTATTAAGTATTAACTCGCTTCAAAGGAATTGAGTCTTTGCCACAAACTCAAGTTTTATAATCACCAAATCTTTGAAACCTTATGATGTAAGGCTTTGATATTTCAAACTAAGATTATTTGACCTAACATAATTTACAGTTTGAAGTCACTTTGAGATATCTAAGGTTTACGACTTTGGGTTGTAAAGATATATATATATATATATATGGATTAGAAAATCAGGTTTTGTGACAATTTCTTTAATTTCTTTAGACCCTGTGAACCCTGTAAATTGTGAATTGATGCTTTCTCATCCAAAAGTTTCGACCTTAGTTTTTGTTTTATTTATATTGTCTCGTCCCTGGTAATTGGTTTTTCTAATCCATAATTTTTTTAAACATCATTTATCAGAGCCCTATAATAATAATAATAATAGTAATCATAACAACATACAGGTACAATAACAACATCCAGGTACATTACAACATTCTGATACATAACAGCATGCCGGTACATTAAAACATGCAGGTACATAACAACATGCAGGTACATAAAAACATGCAGTTACATAACCAAATACAGGTACATAACAATAATATTAGTAATCATAACAACATCAAGGTACAATAACAACATCCAGGTACATAACAACATCCAGGTACATAACAATATCCAGGAACATAATAACATTCAGGAACATAACAACATCTAGGAACATAACAACATGCAGGTACATAACAACATGCAGATACATAACAACATGCAGGAACATAACAACATGCAGGTACATAACAACATGCACGTACATAACAACATGTAGGTACAGAACTAAATGCAGGTAATAACAACATCCAGGAACATAATAACATGCAGGTACATAACAACATCTAGGTACATAACAACATGCAGGCACATAACAACATTCAGGTATATAACGACATGCAGGTACACAACAATATCCAGATACTATACCCTTCTTCCTATAAACCTCCTTATCTCTCTCCTACCTGCTCCACAACTCGATGTCAAAAGAACTATTTGGAAAGGCCTTAAAGTGTAAAAGCAAGATACAAGAAGCAAAAAAAAGAAGAAATTGAACAGAAAAAAGTGGAAGAGAAACCACTTGACAGTAGAGATGGGAGCTTAAAACAAGATAAACAAGAAAGAAGAAGAAAACTTTGAACTGAAAAATTAGAAGGGTATTTAAGCTTTATCTAATTTTTTTCACCGAAAACAAAACAAATACACAGGATGACAAACATCCCATCCCCCCTTCTATGTCCTACTCAAAATAAAAAAACCGGAAAATGTGTAGCAAGTCCCCCCACCCCCCTCCCTGCCTCCAAGAAAATATCATGGAAAGTGTGTAGAAAAGAAGCTTACGCAAGCTTCATGCGTTAATTAGCTGGGAGATGGTAGTGACCTTACTCCCCTCATCTAGGTCTGAGGTGAGGGAGGGTAGGCAACCTACCCTGAACAGCTTCTGAACCTCATTTTACCTATTTGTGGCAGTGCACGTCCCCAGAGGGCTTCCGAACCTCCTCCGAACAGTCGGCCGGCCGGGAAGGATCTTCCATTTATAATCGTCAATTTCTACTTAAAACGGGAATAATTTGATGATTTATAAAGAACACTTTTTTTATTTATGAAGAAAACTTTTTATATGTCTACTTGTTACAAAATGTAGAAATTGACAATTATAATGGAAAATTCTTCCTGGAAGACTGTTTGGGGGAGGTTCGGAAGCCCTTTGGGGACGCACACTGCCGCATTAGGTAAAATGATGTTCGGAAGCTGTGCGGGTGAGTTTGCCTTCCCTCCCTTCTCAAACATATAGTTACCCAACAAACAGCACAGATTTTCAACAAGATTAGCATGATTGAGAACTGGTTGATCGGCCCTTCCTTGTGTTATACTCATGGTAAATCTACTTTTCACAATCTTGAAGAATCCTCCTGTGTACAGCATGGGTAAAAAACGCGAAAATATTCTTTGAAAATTCCCGTTGTTATTTCACATGTTGTACATAGCAAATAAGCCAGTGCAAGATCTTCTTGCATATATTCCCAAATAGATTATCAAGTACAATAGGTGGTAACAGAGAAATGGATCAATTATACACAACGTCACAAGTGTTAAATATAACATGGAAAAAGAAATTTTCTCACATTAATTGACATGTTTTTCAAGATTAAATAAAAAGGGTAAAAACAGAAAATAAATAGGACACTAAATTGCACCTTTTTCACTGTAATTGATAAGCTCTTTATTCTAAAATTATCACTATTATTAATAATTTTGTCCGATACAAAAAATGAGTTGACACTTGTGACGTAATAATACAACTGTACTGAGAGTGTACAAATACCACAAATTGCCATCTATACTTAACAATCTATTTGCATATTCCTATCATGTTAAACTCGAGTAATTTGCAATGCCAGAATTTTTAGATTTTAATTCTCGTAATTATCACGTGTAATAAATATATTTGAGATAATTCTAGAGTTCAATTCTTGACATTTTTTCACATGTTGTGCTCGTATAGCAAAGATACCAGTTCAAGATCGTACATATAGTTGTTAAAATAAATTCGAAATATAAGGAAGACGATTTCACCCACTCAAATGCCGATGTTAATTCTCTAGATGTGTGTGTACACAGGATCCATTTCCTCCATGAAGCACACCACACATGTAACCTTCGCTCCTCACCTCTCTAGACCTCCCGGTATTCAGTCAGCTATAAACACTCAAGACATTCACAACTCCATCTCAACCCTGGCTCCTTCATGATGATGACGCAGATACTCAATTAGCAGCAGACAGGCTTACCCAAGGGTTCCCAGTTTATCATGCACTCCACTTCCAGAGACAACATAATCGCTCAAATCCAGCATGATAAAGCCGCGATCTCTGCCTACTAGGTTGGATAAGCCCTGTTGCCCCAGTTCCTATTGATCTGCTCCACCAACATGAAGCTCTACAACCCTCCCATGAAGTACCATCAAATATCCATCCATAAGTACCATCAAATATCCATCCATAATTCCTTTGTTAATTTCTAAATCAACCAATTTTAACTCCGCCTTTAATGCAAATATTTCAAAACACTCGTTTTTAAATAAATGTTAGAAATATCCATTTTAGATCTCTTTCTTTTATTATAGTGACTTTTAAAGTCAACAATAGTATAGTACATGCAGAGCAAAATTTTATATGTTATAAAATACAATGTCGTCTTTACAGAAGGTTAAAGAAAAAAATAAACATTTTTCCCTTGCCAAAAAATGTTACATAAAAAAATGTAAAACAGGAAATTTTAATTTAAATCTACTTAGTTTTTCCTTGAAAAACTTTTTTTACGTCGTCTTTGTTAATTTTGCCGACAGAAGTTTTTATAGAGAAAAAAACGCGGTATTTGTACGTTAACACGAATTAAATCGGTCAATCAACAATAATTTGACACCGCAGTAAAATTGATTGTTTTCCATTGTGAACATTGAGCGGTTTACTCAATAATTTATTTTGCCACGTCACTTTAGTCATTCATGGAGGAAAGTCATATTTACTATTAAATCTATATATAAATTTGGCTTGTCTGTCTGTCTGTCTGTCTGTTTATAACACTTTCTTTTTGGAGCGTTTTTGGTTCGTTATTTGCATACATAGGGTCAAAATATATGCAAAAACCGAGCTCTAAATAAACTGCTATTTAATACACAATGTGCATCATTACTTAGGGTGCAAACAGAGCACATTAGATTAGGATATTACTAATATCCCTCTCCTTTAGCAAGAAATTAACACTTTCAATAAATAGCATCACATCCAGATGTAAAATGTTGATAATTTTTAGATCCTAGCTATGGCCGGTGACGAAGAAGATGGTGGAGGAGAATTACGGAAACTAAATAAGGAGAATGAACATGAAAAGAAAGAAGTAGGAGGACTAAATGTGTCTATAGAGCAAAATGAGTACAGCAAGGTAGCATTAAAAAATATGCTTGAAATAAGGAAAGCTCGTATAAGTGAAATATCCTCTCAGGTAAACATTTCACAAAATATAAAACAGCGGTATAGATTTTTAACCTGGGAAATCTGCATCATAACGATTTTTTCAAAGTGGAGAATATTTTTTAACCAGCTTAAGTTATCCCTCAAGCATCGAAATAATTGCAAGTTTTTAATTTATTTTATATTTATTCTTGAAAGAAAATAAAAAGTAAAAAAAGTGTTGTTTTTAGTTCCCGACTTCCTAATACATCTTCCCCTGGGGGGGGGGGGGGCGGTCCTTAGTCTACTTTAAAGTGTTTCGTATCTCGGGTGTTTAATCGTCTTAGTTTTTTTTGTACAAACTATTAATTAAACTTCTCACAGTTCAAAACGATTACCTGTATTCTGTTAAAGTTGGCTAAGAGAAAATTAAAGGGAGAAAACACAAAATCGTATTTGCTCGTTTTTTTGCATACATTTTCTCTCAGGGTCATAATTTGGCTTAATGTAAGAAAATCAAATGTTTAAATTTAACAATTACGAAATTGTAATAATACCTTTCAGAGTTTTGTGTAACCATTAAACAGTCCGAAAACCTCACCAAAACTATGAACAACCCTATTAACCATAAAATAAGTTTTTGATACTTTTGTATAAAAAAATGTAAGCTTCATAAAATCAATTCCGAACTAAATAAAAAGCTTTTCGATATTTTTTTTTTTATTTTAATAAACCCACCGTTGCCCATAATATCTGAGAAATCGTCACATGTACGATGTACAATTCACGTTGTACAAATGTACGCGTTACATATAAAGCCATCCAGACACTTGCATTGTACGTTTGTACACTCATACAATTACAAAAGAAATATATTTATATATTTCGACGCTTTTTAATTACTTTGTTTTAATGTAGGATTGTAGAGAACTAACGGGACGTTCTAGATTTCAAATACTTCAGAAGTTAAAAGCTCTTCATCTTGAAAACAAACAAAAACCCCCTCTAGAACCTAATGGAGAAGTTCCAGAGATGAAAAGAAAGCAGAATGAAAGGATTACTGATAATATTACGCTTATTCAGAAGGAACCTGTATCAAAATCCTTGAAGCCTGGAAATAGAGAGAAAATCCTGGATATTCTTCGCAAATCCAAACAGGCACAAGCACTCCAACAAGAACAGAAACAGGAACAAAAGCAAGAACAAGAACAAGAACCACAGCAACAGGAACAACATCAGCAGCAACAACACCAACAAAAACAGCAACAACAGCAACAACAACAACAGCAACAACAACTGCAACAACAACAGCAGCAACAGCAGCAACAACAACAACAACAGCAGCAACAGCAACAACAGCAACAACATCAGCAACAACAACAGCAACAACATCAACCTAGCAATGATGATTTGATCAGCTCTAAGAAAAGTTCTTCCTTTGCTTCTGATGGAAAAGATGAAAATTTATCTGTTTCTCAAACATCAGAGTTATTGGAGAATGCTAGAACAAATATTCTCCGAAGAATTTCTTTCACGGCTAACAAGAAAACAAATACGGCAGGGTAAACAATTAATTGGGTTTATGTTGGACCTTGAGCCATAGTTGAATTCGGTATGAGACTGTAGATGGATATCAATTATTTAATTACAGTTTACAGAAAGAATACTCCGTCGTCTGATTTACAACGGTGACCTTAAAATCTTTGTCTGAATGAGATATCAATCATCTTTTTGAAAGAAGATTATTTTTAATTGTCGTTTTTTATTAAGTGTCTTTTATTAAGCTTCAGAAATAATATCGAGCAAATTGTCAGAATTAAAAACATTTTTGATAAGGTTTAAAGGATACCGTTGTAAACCGGGCATGTCCTTCTTCAAAGTAAAAAATCTTAAAAATGACTACGACAGTCCCTTTAATAAATAATATAAAGTTTTAAAACTATAAACGAGGAATGTTTTTTGACAATTTTTTAATTTATCTTTACTTACCAGATCTGCAGAGAAGTCTCAACCCCACTCTACTCCTGGGGAACCTAGAGCTGATCAAACCTATCCGTCCTATCAGGGGAGCAGCTTTATATCGTTGTTCGGAGTTCCGGAGTTGGACGCGGAGGTGGAGATGGGAATGGAACAGGAGCAGGAAGCACTGCAGGAATATCAGTTAGTTCACTCCACGCTACACAGGTTTAATGGTGGATATACATTTTTTGGGGTTTCGGAGGCTACCAAAAATTCGCTTTGTCCAAGATATTAATGCAAACGACTTTAATAATCGTTCTTCGGTTTTTGTTTTGGTCTTTTTTCTTCTGTAAAAGAAAACAAATTGACCATACAATTTTGAAGTACAACCACATATCCCGATATTTTTGGAGGATCTGAACATGTTAAATGTTTTAAAACTAACCAAAAAAACAGCGCTCATTACTTCATAGGTTGTTCACCATGCGTTTCTTTCATTGCAGGTCTTCTACAACTATGATTTAATATTGACCATCTGAAGGGCATGTTTGGGAACTATTTCCTTGTTTTTATTCCCTTATACCAAAATACCGTGTGTACTTTTAGGTTATTGTCTGACCAATTGAGCGTTAAAACTAAGCTCCGGAGCTTGAAAAAGCTGAGGATGGATCAACTTCGCCGAGATACTATACTCCAGGTTCTACAGGATACAGATCTACTCTACAGGTACTGTACTACAGGTTCTACAGGATACAGATCAACTCTGCAGGTAATGTACTCCAGGTCCTACAGGATACAGATCTACTCTGCAGGTACTGTACTCCAGGTTCTAGAGGATACAGATCTACTCTGCAGGTGCTGTACTCCAGGTCCTACAGGATGCAGATCTACTCTGCAGGTACTGTACTAAAGGTCTACAGAATACGAAACTACTCTGCAGGTACTGTACTCCAGGTCCTACATTATGCAGATTTACTCTGCAGGTACTGTACTAAAGGGAATATAGAATACAGCTCTACTCTGTAGGTACTGTACTCCAGGTCCTACATGATGCAGATCTACTGTGCAGGTACTGTACTCCAGGTCCTACATGATGCAGATCTACTCTACAGGTAATGTACTCCAGGTTCTACAGAATACAGATCTACTCTGCAGGCAAAGATTTAGCAAGATTTCAATCGACCTCAGGTCAGATTTTATGATTATCGAGAAGTAGTTCAACTTTGCGTACCTCATTCATCTCCATCAAGCTATTCATTAATTTCGACCTCTGAATGTCCTAGAAAATTACAACCGACCATTCTTTAAAAAATCTGTTCTTTTGAAAAGTGCTTCGGATATTTTTAGCTAAAAAGTTCCAATGTTTTTTTCAAATATGTTTCAAAAACATTCAAAGTTGATATGAGAAGAGGGTAATAAAGGTTGCTTACATTTTACTGCGACAAATAAGAAAAGTTCAGTTGAGGTCAATAAGAAAGACTCTAAACAAGGCTCGGTATGGCTGAGGAGTTTACTTGTTACATAACTAGTTCTTGAGCTGTCCTTAAACGTCACAGTAGAACGTAAACAACCTCTCTCCTTTTTTTTAGACCTGAATAAAAAAGATTTCTCATTCTTGTTTTTTCTTGTAGAGGAGTTGAGACAGTTCTTGAGAATTATCTCCAGAAGAAGGATGAAGATGGAAAGAATTTGCTGATCCTCACTCTTCAACTATCTAACAAATGTTTATTACTTAGTCACAGTATGATGACGGAGTCGGTGGTAACACAACCCAGGAGAACTATCCGTGGTTACCAACTACACCAGCACTGCATACTCCTCAGCCAACCCGGAGTAGAGACGTGTAATGATACTTTCTCCGTCCTGGCCGCCGAGTTTCTAGGATCCAACGACTCTTCCCTTCTAGGACGCTGCTTCTATACTCTAGAGAAAGAAAGCAATATTATCGATGATTTCCTGAAATGTTTAAATATCAATCAACAAAGTTTGGATGCCTTCTTCCTACGTGACTTACCGACTGGATACAGACTGGTTCGTCTCTTCAAGCTTCAGGGTGGAGAAGAGATGAATATCTCCGATACTCTTATTGACAAGGATAAACAAGGACATCTCTGGTCGATCAGGCACCCTGAGAAGGAACTCCAAGACTCCCAGACATGGACTGAAGTCAAAGTAGTAAAATTTTTTCCATCCGGACATTTTCTAGCGTATGTTGGTGTAGCATGGAGAGAGAAGTTGGACAGGTTGGAGAAAATGATTCTTCAAAGCTTCCCTGAGTTGGGTGCCACCTTCTCCAGGTTCCCTTTAAAACCAGGAAACATGATCCTGGTCAAGTTTCATCAAATTCTGCTCATCACTGACAGTTTGATCGAATTTAAGGCTGCCAGAGCTGTGATTTTATCGGAACCGGATATCCGGAAGGTTCTTGTATATCTACCAGACTATGGAGTACAAGGTTGGGTATCCGTCCAGGATGTACACTTGGCTCCAGAGATCTTGGAGCAAAAGGAACCTGTTCTTACTTTCTGTCGGCTACAGGTTGGCAAAACTGATTTTTGGTTTGGTTTTTAAACAATTGAATTAACACAGTTTTGATTCTACGTTGATTCTAAGATCATAAAAAATATTCATTTATTTCAGGGCCAATGTTTGGTTTTTTAAAATAATCTGTAAGATAAAGTCAAATTTTTTTCTAATAATTCTCACAACGATTTTATTATTAGAATTGCTAAATGTTATTATTATTATCTATATAAAGCCTTCTAAACAAGTTTTTTGTCACAAACATTACCTATCGCTAGGATGTCGGACCATCTCCAGGTGTAGGATTAATCCGTGAAACTATCCTGGCCTGTTCCCTTCTCACAACTCCGGAGAATGTTTCCTCCTTGATCAGTCGACCTTATCTTAACACAGTATCCGTCCTCAGTTCTCTTCTCTTAACTCTAGATTCTACTGTAGTAGGTATGAATTCCATCTTTTATGGAATTATAGAGGGGTGTATATTTTTCTCATAAATCTTTCTCCCCATTGGTTGTAAATAATCCCCCCCCCCCCCAGATATTATTGCGCGGAGCCCGAACTTTTTAAAGAAGTTCTTTTACTGAATTGGGGAAATAAATGAATATTTTGGTATAAAGTATCCAAAAAATGTTTATTCTGAAAAATATTCACACCAGTAAAGATTCTTAATTTTATCCTCAAATTATCAAATTATTCTTCGAAAATCGCGATATGTTTGTTTTCACAATCACGAACATGCCTGAAAACAGGTAATTAAAAAAGTAATTGATAATTGATATGATTGTTTTGCTTTAGATGCGGTTCTATCTATTCTCCGACTTATGGTTGAAAGCAGTTATTCTCTTTCCTTACTCAATAAACCCTCGAGAAACTCCAGGTTACCCCCGTCCTTGGGGAACCTTGCTCCCAGTTTACTCAACCTACTGGAGAAGGAACAGATAAAATCTGAACCTGAGCTTTTTCTGAAGAGTAATGAGATATTATTCGCCCTACTTAGCTCCGCTGAACCCGGCCGATTTCGTGATTTTATGCGAGCAGAGGGAAAACGTCTCATGGATCTAAATCACCCTGATCTTCCTGAAAAGGTTTGTGTTCACTCAGGGCCATTTATTTTCGTAAAACATCATTTACCCTGGCCAACTAATATGTGTGCGTGGAGCGACAGCATTTTTAAAGTATTATTCCCAAAAATGAGGGAAAAGAATCAGAGGGGATAAAACAGGTGATGTCCAATTTTTTTTCTTCCCCAGATTTTCGAAAATCAGTTTTTTGCTGGGGGTGGGAGAAGAAAACCTTGTGGTTACTTCTAAATCAAGATATAATATTCTTATCTTTAGAGTAAGCTTGTGTTAGATCAGATATTTTCACTGCCCATGGAAGGAAAAGGACGTGGAACTGGGAGAAGAGGAAGGTTGGAGGATCCAGACAATAGAAGAGACCTCGGATTCAAGAAGACAGGCGGAGTAAAAGAATCCAGCAGGACCAAGATCAGGAGAGCAAGCTCCAGTAGATCCAATCCACCCAGTAGACACGAGAAAGGGAACACACAGTTTACCATCACATCTAAATTAAGAAAGAAAAGGTGAGTTATCAGTGAAAAACATTTACTAATCATTAATAGGTTTCTTATTATCGAATTGGAGGGGAGGGGGGGGGGGGCTGTCGAAAAAAATACTCAAGGAATCTAGTTAAGTTATTTTGAATTGTAAATTTTTAGAGTTCAAGTTGTAATTGAAGAAAGAGAAGAAGACTATACACCCGTTCCTCTTCCTGTCCTAAACCGACATGTTTCCTCTAAACTGGGACTCTTTAACAGACCAGTTCAGTCTAGCGGAAACCGTATCGTGGATAGTGATAATCGTCCAGTTAGGAGTTTCGTCCTAAAATCCGCGAAGGATTCCGATTTGGTTTGGATGAGGGCCGAGGAATTGCTGAACGATCAAGAAATCCACCAAATACTAGATCTTGGGCCGGGCATGAATTATCATCAAGTACTGCAAAGGTAAATTTTCAAAATACTAAATTTTCAACCATTTAAAAATTATTGGCCTTAATTAGGCTTTTTTTTGATTACTGATAATTTTTAATTTGATTTTTCTTAGGAGTAGAAGAGAGGCTACCGAAGAGTCAATAAAATCTGAAAGGACAATATCAAGTTCTTCTGTAATCAGTAGGAATTGTCAAGACGAGCTGAAATTTAAAAAAGAAACCTCTGTCAGTTCTGGTATGATTAAACAACAGATTAAACCAGACCAGGAACTGAGAGGTAAAAATTCGCCTGACACCAGATCTGTTCCCGTGAACCTGGAAACTGACACCAGATCTGTTCCCTTGAACCAGGAATCTGTGACAGACAACCATCGGAAAGAACCGAAGAAGGAAGATACTGCTACTGAGATATCCCAGGATTCAAGAACTGAGAGTACCCGAGCTGAGATTTTGACCGAGGTTAATGAGATTATTGGAGCAAAGCAGGATGTACCCATCCCGGGAACTAATTTTTGTAAAGATGATGACGCAAGAACTGTAGACAAAGACGGATCAGATGCTGGAGAAAAATCCGATGAAATAGCTGAAAAAGGAAAATGGAATGGAGTCGGATCTGTAGCTAGATCTGGAACTGGATCTGATGCCAATGATAGAACTGGACCCGGAGTTGGAAATGAGGAAGGAAGTTTAGATGTAACTGGAGCTAAAGATACAGGCAGAGCTAGAGAAGGTATCGTATATAATGATGCATCCGGAGCTAGAGAATTGATCGGAGCGAGAGATTCAGCCGAAACTAGGGAAGGAGCCGGAGGTAAAGATGGAGCTGTAGCTGAAGTTTGTCAAGGACTTGGGACAAACTATATAAAATCTAATAAACCCCAGGTAGTTATTTGAAGAAGATTATCAGAAAAGAAATTATTTACGAAATATTTTGACTTTGTAGTTAATATTTTGCTAAGCTCTGTCATATGTATGTTATCGTTTTATCGTTTACAGTCCCTTTGATTAGAGTTGTTACTGTTTCAGGGAGGCCTGGAGCAGGGTACTGTGCTGGTTAAACGACCCGGAGCTGAGATTGAGATGCTGGAGAGGATTGGAACCTCAGAGCGGGATGCAGGACGCCTGGCGGTTATTATCTCTGCTATGGCAAATACCACTGGGGGAACAATTTTCATAGGTAGAAATCAAAACAGGGGTTCTCACAAACTGATTTTCTACCAAAATGTATTGGTCGAAAATTGAGAACGGAAAAAATAGGTTATGCTCCAAGTGTCACTTGGCTACCAACATATTTATTGTAAGAGACTAGCTTGGGAACCCAGCGTTGCCCAGGTTACTCATAAGTTACTCTCGCCGCTTACCATTTAAGCTATCTTTCCCTATAAAAGTAGACCCACTCCAATTTAGAAGCTTAAAACTAAGAACATTCCCTTGGTTCTGATAAAACTGACCTGTATACTGTTTATTGATCTCTTGTGTGCTTTAGCCCCATTTTTTGTCTGTAATATAAAACGTATATTGATTTTCACAGGGTAAACATAAACCCCCAGACAACCAGAAGTAGAGATTAGTAATATCCAGACTGAACAAACACCAGCTCGAATACATTTAGAAGACGACATTCTATAAGTACATTGTAGCCAAGAGGATACCCCTTTCAATAAATAATTGTGTCCCAATATAACGTAAATGTTTACAAAATTCTGTTTTGTTTTGCAATGCACTGGAAGCTTGCTACAATTCTGGAAAAAAACAACATGTTTTAAAAATGAAGTTGGGTGCTAAGCATGCAGATAAGCTTCTTGAGGACAGAATTTTAAACTGACTCACGATTAAGTTTATTTTCTTACAGTAAGATAAATTCTTACTTTTGTTTTAATATTTATTATCACTTGAAAATTTATGTAATGCATTTCCATGATGATTAGAAAGGAAATTGTGTTATAGAAAAATCTTCAGTACAACCAAAAACTACTTAATATGTAAATATGGCCTTTTTCTGCGTTTTCATATAATCTTCAGTTCAAAAATCTAATGGAGTTAAGCATTTAAATTTTATATTTTATAATCTATAAATAATTTGTTTTCTAAAATATTTGTTGTTTATTTATATTTGCTAAATCAATTATTTTTATTTTCATAAAAGAGGCTCATGACAAAATTGGTTTCCCCACCTCGCATAGTTTAACTGATGCTTACCCCACCTCGTAGGAATAGGGTCATTCCATGTCAAGTCAACCACCTATGGACGGCATGTCACAGATTTTGCTGAAATTTTGCATAAAATTTGGGATATGAAAAAAAATGCCGGAACCCGAAGATGAGCGTTCTGAGACCTCCGAGGCCGGAGATATGGCTCCGGAAAGTTTCCAATAATTCGAGATTTCGAGGCCGGCCTCTATATTTCAAATGGCTCTAACTTTTTTGTTTTAGAAGATAGCTCCAAATTTTTTTCAGTTTTGAATAGGTAATCACAAGCCTGTTNAGTCATTTATAAAAATCTTTGATCTGTTCAGATGCAAACACACTGTGTGACTGAGTCTTTTTTAGCAGTGGGGGTATGATTATTAATTTGACCCCCACCTAAGACTAATATCTATTTAAAAATTAGTAATACACACATGCATTTTTAGTGTACAATAGTTGAAATAAATACTATTGATGGTCTCTTATTATAATTTAGATCACTTACTCACATAAAAGTATTAAATATTAAATATTTATCAATGTTTAGGAGAGATAACAATAATTAAGCAGAAATTCTACCTATTAGTTGCATTAAGAAATCTAAATTAGCATTACATTATGAGTTCTCCTCCTCAACAGGAACAAATACATATAAATTTAACTTTTCTAACCCCTTCCTTATGGCAGTATAAAAATATGTAAAAAAAATCAACACAATCGGAATTGGTACACATCCTCAAACGGAGGCTGAAAATAAAGAAATGCAATTATGACCTGTAAATAATATTTAAATGATATTTTTTCTTTTAACGCCAAATAACGGGCTTGTGATTACTTATTCAAAACTGAAAAAATTTAGGAGCTATCTTCTAAAACAACAAAGTTAGAGCCATTTGAAATATAGAGGCTGTCCTCGAAATCTCGAATTATCGGAAACTTTCCGGAGCCATATCTCCGGCCTCGGAGGTCTCAGAACGCTCATCTTCGGGTTCCGGCATTTTTTTTCAGATCCCAAATTGTATGCAAAATTTCAGCGAAATCTGTGACATGCCGTCCATCAGGTGGCTGACTTGACATGGAATGACCCAATAATAATTTTTTTAAAATGTCATCTTCATATTTCTGATATTCTCTCAGCCTAGTGTTTGTTCTGTCTGGATGATGTGATAATACTTAGCTGTGATTTTGTAAAACAATCTCAAATACTAATCACAGATTTACAGGTTCTCCCAAGTTCCACAATCAGATTTAGAGGCAAATTGGTTAAGGGGTTCATTAGTTATGATCGGATATACAAACTTTATTCCTTACTTTAGTCCAATGGTATCGACAATAGTATTATATTTAGGAGTACGTGGCAAGGGATTAGTTTGTGGAATACCGTTAAACAGAAGAAATAAAGACGAGTTTGCGCAGATGGTTGATCAGCTTTCATCCCAGCTTATTCATCCTAGGTAATCTTAATATCCCGGCTCATTCATCCCAGAAATACATTATGTCCCTGCTTAGTGCTTATTCATCCCGGCCTAGGTAATCACATAATAGCCGGGTCATTCATTCAAGAAATACATTACATCCATGCAATGCTTAGTGCTTATTCAGCCTAGGCAATCACATAATATCCCAGTTTATATTCATCCCAGGCAATCACATAATATCCCAGTTTATATTCAGCCCAGGCAATCACATAATATCCCAGTTTATATTCATTCCAGGCAATCACATAATATCCCAGTTATTTTCAGCCCAGGAAATCACATAATATCCCAGTTTATATTCATTCCAGGCAATCACATAATATCCCAGTTTATATTCAGCCTAGGCAATCACATAATATCCCAGTTTATTCATCCTTGGTTTCAATTGAAAATCTGTTAAAACAAAAACATGATACATAACAAGACTCGCATAGATCTTGAATAAGATTGAAAATATAAAAAACACCTAGCGATACACAGAACAAGTTTACTGTATATTTACATTTATAAGTTGGTCGAAATGTTCACAAAATCTCTACCGAACTCTAATTTTACGCTACTTTTAACTGTTCTAACTACTAGTTCTCTTGAGATGTACAGATGTTATACTAGCTGTACCTAGTTCATCAACCTCAATTTGTAAACAAATTTTCATATTTGTTCACTTATTGCTTGATAAATTTCCATTCCATGGTCTCTTCAGATGCAAAAACTGGGAAAGTAAAATGTTATTGACTAGAATTCTTTTTTAGGTTCAATGTTTTCAATCTTTCAGTAGAATTTGTTCCAGTAATCCTCCCATCTAGGTAAACAAAATATATGCAATTGTTTATTTTGTCTTGACTACTGTGTTCCAAACAATGAAGTATGTTATGTGACTCCCGTCACGGGCCTGTACACTCTGTACACTGTACAGTGTTCATGCAAAGATGGCAATGCCCGGTTCAAAGCGGTATGTACCCTGAAAAGCTTTGTCTGATCAAGTATGAATTAGACTTCCATGTTTATAATTTAAAGAACTACTTATTTTCAATTGTGTCTTCAATACAAAGTATCTTTCAAACTAATGATGAGATAACGGTTTCAAGGGTACCGTTGTCACCCGGGCATTGTCATCTTTGCATTAAGAGTAACTTGAAATTACTCTTACAGACCCTTTAACCAATTATACATTAACGTGCGCTATTCAGCGCATGTTTTTATTTGAGGCTGTTTTTTTTGCTCTGGATTCAAATAAGATTGTTGTAGAGTTGATGAAAGAGGAGAGGAGAGATTTGTTATCAGAATTAAAGTCAAACCAAGTGGAAACATGGTAAATAATTTGTTTAATATTTAATCTAAAAATGCCATTTTATGCTTATGTCTGAACCCCCCTTCCTGTCCAAATTTTTTTTATTCCCTAGCATGCACAACGCTTATCGCTCAATAATCAGACTAATTTAATAAACTACGCTTTTTGGGCATTTCACGGAGTTGACGCTTTTTCCCGAGCAAAATTTGTCATCTTGAACCATCCATAAACCTTCCCTGGGGTCATTTGAGTTGCCACATAATTCGTTGACCCGATCTGAACAACTGTTTTGACAATCCGCTATACTACACATCCGACCTACTAGCACGTGGTTTTACAGCTGCTATATGGACTTGTGGCCGCAGCGCCCGGCCCCCTGTATGTCCTAGCCGCAGAGCTCGGCCCGGAAATTGTCTTAACCTAACCTAACCCTCAAATGATACAAAAATAAACAGCTGGCGTAGGTCCGATATTGCAGTAGGTCAGAGGTTCGGTAGCTGGATGTTGAGTATAGCGATGTAACATTACTAAAGGCCAATTTCTTAGACGCTCTACCATAGGTAGAACCATAGTCACACTATGGTTACGCTTTACCAGAGCAATGTAGATACTAGATAGATATATACAAACCATAGTTGTACCTATGGTTAAATGAATAAGAAATTGGCCATAAATATTATCAATAAAGATTAATATTTAGCGCTACATGACTCACAATATTATATTATCTATGATTTTTAATGTTCAGTTCTACATGACTCACAACATTATCGACGATGTTTAATGTTTATTTCTACATGACTCACAATATTATCGATGATGTTTAATGTTGAGCGCTACATGACTCACAATAATATCGATGATGTTTAATGTTTAGTGCTACATGACTTACAATATTATCGACGATGTTTAATGTTTAGTACATGAATAACATGACTCACAATATTATCGATGATGTTTCATGTTTAGTGCTACATGACTTACAATATTATCGACGATGTTTAATGTTTAGTATTACATGACTTAAAATGTTATCGACGATGTTTAATGTTTAGTTCTACATGACTTCTACGGAATGATGGTTGATTCTTTGTTTGTTTGTTTGTTTAGTTCTACATGACTTACAATATTATCGATGATGTTTAATGTTCAGTGCTACATGACACACAACATTATCGACGAGGAACCCGGAGTATACAAGAGGAGGAGGAAAGGACCAGAGTTTACTTACAAGGTTCGTGAATTTAAACGAACTGTAAGCGTAATTTCTAGTGACCCTCCATGCAAAGATGACAATGCCCGAATTATAATGGTACCCTTTGTCTGATCAAGTATGGATAAGATAACAATGTGTGTAATTATTATTTTCAATTGGGGGTTCTCTAAGCGATTCGTGCATTTCTTCTGCAGAAAAACTTTCAGGAATTACCAGAATTAAACCTAAAAAAACGATACTAGAATCAAAGTTATAACTAGTCTCTTGATCAAAGTGAAAGTTTGAGAGTATTGTTTGGACTTGGTAAACAAAAAGCTTATTTTTGTTTATTTTTTAACTAACGAAAATCTATTTTAATTGTCATGAACTTGATGACTAAATGTTTCTAGTCATTTAGATTGTTTTGAATAAAATATTTTCAGAAAAATACTTGGTTTTTGAGCAATGTTTTTTATTTTTATGTTTTAATAAGTTCACTGAATAATCACCGTTCAAAATTTATTTTCATTGAATAATTGTTCAATTTATTTACAAAAATAAAAATGTTCAGGTTGACAATGACGAGGCACTGCGACTGATCAATGTGACGAGAGAATCGGTGCTGAATCTACCGCCGATCCAATCAATCAGAATCGCTGACGAATATTAGAAGATTGTTAACCGCTAAGTGATGATGGTTGAACTGTCATAATGATAATAATTACCAGTTAAATATCAGCGATGAGCATTTACAAAATAATTGCTTTTACTTTTGATATTTGATCATGTTATGTAATCAAATTAAGCAAAGTATTTTTTAATCCCTTTGTACTAAAACAAATGTCTTAATAAGTGAGTCAAAACTCAGTTCTATATAATCATTGGTTGAGGGGAAATAATTTCTGCCCCCCACTGTCACTCTACTTCAACGTAAATTGATGCTATCAAACTTTTTAAATGATTAATTTGGAATTTTGCTTAATTTTCCGCATACCCTGAAAAAATGATGGGGGGGGGGAGGGGGGTTAGTTTTGTCTTAACGTTACTTTTGTTGTAATTTCATGAAACCCTTGACATTTTTTCACTGTTAAGAAACAGAACATATCGTCCTTTTTCTGACTTTAAAAGTGTTTTAATTTGGACAAATACTCCATTGTTTCAGTCACAGAAATACACAAGTTAAGACATTTGTATTATTTTTAATATTATGAAAATTATCTGTTATGGACAATAACATTCATATTTAAATTGAAAGAGATTCAGGAAACTAGATTCAGGAGTCTTGAAACTTGATTTAGGGGTCTGGAAACTAGATTCAGGAGTCTGGAAACTAGATTCAGGAGTATTGAAACTAGATTTAGGGGTCTGGAAACTAGATTCAGAAGTCGAAACTAGATTCAGAAGTCTGGAAACTAGATTCAGGAGTCTTGAAACTAGATTCAGGAGTCTGGAACTAGATTCAGGAGTCTGGAAACTAGATTCAGGAGTCTGGAAACTAGATTCAGAAGTCTGGAAACTAGATTTAGAAGTCTTATGATTTTTAAAACTCCCTATTTTGCCACAATTCTGATAAATATTTGTATGCCCAGGAAATTTTGTTTGTGACACATGCACCGTTTTTTAGAATGATTTTTTAGTAAATTTGTTAAAATGATTTTTTTTTCAGATTTAGAAGTCAATTGGCGGGATGCGGGGTGGACCCCGCCTGATGTGTTCTGCCTATCTGACAGGTTAGGCCTGAATTACAGGGTTGTATATAATTTCAATGTTTTTATTTTCCCCCCTAAGTGGATGGGGGGAAGAATTTTATACACCCCTGCTTAATTATATTATATTTTGATGTAATACTACGAATGGTCATTTTAAACCTAAAATAAAGTTATAGTTTACAATTTTTCAAAAAGTTTTGTTTTGTCGACAATTTCAGAACCAAATTTTCAATTATTAAATGTTTTAATTATTAAGAGTTTAATTTCTTCTGAGCCAGAAATCCCTTTAAGTGAAAATATTTTGCTATACTTTATAATTAAATTAAATTAAGGGGCTCTGGGTCTACTTCTTCTAATTGTTGGACTCAACTATTGGTCAGTATCTGGGCAGAACCAGGAGATCGTAGAAAAGTAAGTTTTTTTTATTTGCTTCTATTTATTTCTGCCCAATGTTTGTATAGAAATTTGATTTGAACCTCCCCCCTAGCCCCCCCCCCTCCCCGGGAAAAAAGGTTCTCTGTTGGGCTCAATGTTGGGCATTTTTATTGTTATGTATAGTGATTTACTCTATTTTTCGCGAACGATTTTTTGACGGTAGAGAAATATTACATTTGCGTTTCCTAATATTATTGTCTCCTGATATCGAAGTATCGAAAAAGAAGCAGTTCGTAACTAAGCTTCACATCCTGTTTTTGGCTTCCCTCGAAATCTTCGAAAAACATTTTTTAAAGAAAAAGTATCAAAAAAGAAGAAATTAGCAGTTATTATCAAGTATTTTGACTTCCCTCGAAATCTATATCTCTGGTATTCAGGTTGAAGGAGGTTCAGGATCAGCTCCGGGCTGGGAGCAGTAGAATCCAGGAGCTGGATTCAGGAGCACAAGAGTCGAATATTAAGCTTGGAAAAATGAAACAGGAGCTCAGTGATACTGCTCAGAGGCTGAAGGACGCAAAACAAGAGTTGGAGGACGCAAAACAGGAGTTGGAGGATGTAACGCAGAAATTAGAGCAGAAAATCCAGAAGTTTAAAAAGGTGAAATCAAGATAAAATATTATGATAATCTTATGAGGAAAAAAATGTAATAATGGAAATTCTTAAACGAGATGAACTAATCTTGATGTATTCTTTAACGAAGGCCGCAGGCCTGAGTTAAAGAATGCATCAAGATTAGTTCATCGAGTTTAAGAATTCCATTATTACATTTTTATCCTCATAAGATTATTATTATATCATATTTGTGAGGTTCCATGGGCACATACCCAAGAAAAAAGATATTTCTGGTGAAATCCGACTGTTTCAAATTTCATAAGTAAAAATTGGTTCTTAATTTGAAAGTAATGCATGTGGTGCGATTGTTTCCTTAGTTTAGTTTGTTTGTTTATTAATTTCTTATGATTTTGCTTGTTTTTTTGATACTACACTTAGACACAGCATGTTGAATTTGCTCTGAGTTTTTTTTAGATGGAGAGAAGGTATAGTAGTAGGTTGAATTTACTGAACAAAATCATTCTTTCATTTATAGAAGAAATCATTTCCTGGATATTAGATCCTAAATCTTCCAAAAAGAGGAGATAAAAGCAGGTTATCTAATCAGTTCGACATAAACTGATCTTTGTCTTTTATTCATGAAGCAAGATTTACTGGTTTGTTCGCATTGCTATGGAGTGCTAAGACCCCAATAAAAGTTTGTGACACTAGTATTTCAATGATAAGTTTTTATAAAATTAACTATTTTTGGTTTTGATTGTGGTTTCACTTTATGATCTCGAGCTATGCGAGATATGGTGACGACTGACTCAGACTGAGGTACTTTAAAACTATTTTAGCTGTGGGGTGGGGGACAAATTGACCTTTTTATTCTGTAATTTTTTTAATAATTACAAATGAATTTTGAATTTTGGAGACCCTTTTTAATATAAAATGAAAAAACAATTGATTGAAATTTTGAAGACATGACAACCTTTCCATTTTTGAGTATGCAGAGATTTGCAAAATAGAAAGCAGTCTTTGAGACTCGGCAGTTGGATGAAAATGTCCAATGTAAGGCTTAAAGCATTGTCCATTTTTTTGGAAAGGTCAGAATTTCAGAAAATGTTAATTAAACACAGGATTAGGGTTGAGATTTAAATGGATATTACTGAATTAAGGTATATCAAAACTTCAAAAAACGAAAAAGGTAAGTGAGCATGAAAAGGTAAGTTTGCATGTTTTAATATTAAAGAAAAAGGTAAGTGAGCATGTTATTTTAAAGTATAAAAAGGTAAGTTTGCATGTATTTATATAAAAGAAATAGGTGAGTGTGCCCTGTGCATGTTTTCAGTACAAAATAATTAAGTCATTTTCAATATTGATCTAATCAATATAAGGAGCGTGTAAGAATGAATATTCTGCAACAAGTGTAATAGTTTCCATTCTTTAATGCTCGGAGCGTGTAAGAATATACATTCTTTCACGCTCTGACCGTGTAAGAATATACATTCTTACACGGTCTGAGCGTTAAAGAATGAAAATTCTGCACCTACTGTGTAAGAGTAAGCATTCTTAAACGCTAAAAAGCGAACAATATTAAAATTGTTCCTCCTGAACCGTGTAATAATGGGAATTCTTACACGATAGGTTTACTACTATGGAACCGAACAGATATGATATAATACCAATTACGATTCAAAATTATTTGCCTCTACCAGATAATTTATCGTCTCATTGATAGTTTTTTTATCACTGAATTTTGGGATTTCTATCATAAAGGTTCAATTTTTCGGCTTGTTTTCGCCTTTGTTCGCATCATGTTTATAATAATGGCTTGAGAAAACATAATTAATAACAACAATTTGATAAATAAAGTTATAAAACAAATAAGTTTTTGTCAAACCAAGTTACTGACAATACTTAATCAAACTTTTCGATCGTTTCTTCTTAATTTAAATTCTTGAAATTAAATAAGTTCCAGTGCTGCAATAATTATAATTGCATACAATATTAGAATTAGACAAGTTAAGTTGTTTTGTAATTTCAGTGTGAAGAAATGCGCAAAAGTTTACAGGAAACTAACGATTCTCTTACAGGAGATAAGAGGTTTCACGAAACAGAGGTACTTACTAAAAAACCATTGTTTTAACGGAACTGTCTCTTTAAGTATTAACATTAAAAGGGACTGCAAGTGTAATTTCAAAGATGCAGTAGCCTATTCTTAACGGTACCCTTAAATCCTTTTTCTGATCAATAATATGTTTGACGTTTTTCTAGTTTTAAAAATGTTTAATCCGGATTTTTCCCTCTTTGTTTTCCTGCAGTATAGAAATGCGCAATTATAAAAATTGATATCTAATTAATACTAGACAAAGCTTTTAAGGATACCATTGTGAATCGGGCAATGGCATCTAAGTATGGAGTAAGACGGAATTCAACAGCAAGAACTAGTTATTCATAGTTATGACATGCTTGACCACTTGATAACAGCGTCACAGCAATGTAGTTCAACAAATTCTTCTTATTTAAACATCCTTAAGAGTTTGATTTGATATGGTTTTAGACTGGTATAAATTTCTTCACCTGGATCAATAGGTAGAAGATTTGCGGAAAGCAGAATTAATTTATAAAACTTCATTGATAACCTTTTGTTATGGAACCCTGAACTGCAGAACTCAAAGACTGAGGACAAGGAGAAGGTAACTCAGCTCCAGGTAGACCTGGAGAACGAAAAAACTAAATCTCAGGATCTTCAAACCAAACTTTCAGAGCTTCTCATCCAGCAGCCTCATGTAGTGGGTGACGGTGTTCCTGTTAAACCTGGAATAGTATCCGAGGGTCAGCTACCAGATGTTAACCCAGCAGCTGTCAGTGTAGTCAAGAAGGATTCATTAGGTAAACAATTCTATAAAGAAAATTATGGGGGTATCCTATACAAGTAAATATCAACTTGTAATATGTGTAGCGGGACCCATAAAAAAGATAAAGAAGACATTTGATAAATCTTTATTTATTTAATGTTGTTTAAATGCTATAAACAAAATAGTTGCCTTTCTATTCCACAGTTTGATGGGTCCCAGTGGATTCCTGTTTTACTTTTTTGCGTCTTCATTGTGCGATCCTCTAGTGCGTTCTCAGGATGTGCGTATGTACAAGAAATACAGCCTTTTAAGTGCTGTATAATAGGTCGTCTGAATAAGTGAGTCCGCATTAGTGCGTAATCTTACGCAATAGAGAATGTTGATAAATGTTGCCAGCTATTCTAAGGGACATTGGACACGTACACTGTAGAATTTATTGTATAGTCCTCCTGCGTCCCCTTTTTTTTTACAAAAGTTAAAGACTGGTAAATTTTGACTGGACAGGCCAGTTTAGTAACTTATGTTTATGTACATCCCGTGGCCAAATTTAAAGAATTTGAGCGGCGGTTTTTAAGCCGCGGTTTAAATATGGTTGGTTCTACTTAAAATTGTATCAAATGTTTCAAGATTTAAGCCGGCGCTGAATTTAAACCGGGTTTTGGCGGATTTAAACCGCGGCTCAAATTCTTTAAATTCCATCTCAGGTGTTTTAAATTATCCGCTACTTAGAGACTACAGAGCTAGGGACATGCCCAATTCACAACTGTACCCTTTAAACCATAAATTGATAACTAAAGGGGAAGATAACGTAGTTTTTTTTATCTTGAAAAGTAAATAATTCTGATCATTTCTAGATTAATTCTGAAGCTAGAAATGTACAAGCCACTTTTGAAACAGAAACCACATTTAAAAATATAATTAGTTTTCAAGAATTCGAATCTGACATGCCACTCTTTCATTATAGGGTCTCTTGTAATTATGTGCACAGTCCCTCTAATATTTGCTTGTCAGGGATGAAATTCCACAAGGATGAGCGGGGGAGATACTTGCCAATAATAGTTCAAGGAGATCCTCGTAAACCTCGGGGGAAACCGAGGGTGTCCCTGGGAGATCCTAGTAATAAGCCCAGGGAGGGACAGTTCATTATTTTAACCAGGCTTACATTTCGTAAAATAATCAGGGGTCTCATAAACACTATTTAAGATACTTCAGTTCTCACCATTGTTTGAGTTTTTTTTTATAGTTTTGGACATTTTTTAAATCTACGTAATATTTCCGATCAATGGGGTTGAAAAAATTCAAAAATTGTCCCTCGGGTTCAGGATTAAACATGAAATTACTCCAGGACTAGAAGCAGATAAATATCATCTTCTGCCGATGAGAAACAGCATCAGCAGTTCTAGTAAAGCTCCTGGAGTCTCCAGCTCCTCCAGTTCTGTCCCGCAGCCTCCGGAGGATATAAAGCAGATACCTCTACCAAACCTCGAGGATCAGGAGGCCAAGTAAGACAGGGGTGTATAATTTTAAGAATTACAGGGGGAAATTGCGGATTTTTGAAGAATTGGGGTTGAAACATTAAAAGGCAATAGTTTATCTTTTTACACTTCAAAACTTCAGTCATTTCCCTCAAAAATCATATATTTCAATTTAGTGGGGAAAAAACTAAAAACATACCCAACTTCTGTAAATTTAACTGACTTTCTATTTATTGAGTGGCAAGTCTAATTCACAACGGTACCCTTAAAAATTTTTAACCAGGAAAACGATGAAATTTCTTCGTTCTTTTTATATAAAAAAATAAGGAATTCTTGTATTTACTTATGTTTTTTTACTCAGAATGGTTTTAAGTTGGTTCCGTTGTAAATCGGACGGCTCAGTAACATTATGCCTAGTTCCCGAATGCCTAGTTCACTATGCCTATATTCATGAGAATGCCTAGTTCGTAATGCCTAGATAACGGTATGCCAAGATAACACCATGCCTAGATTCATGAATGCCTATATAACATTATGCCTATATTTCTGAATGCCTAGAAAACATTATGCCTAGATTTCATAATGCCTAGTTACCCAATGCCTAGATAACATTAGACTGAACTGAATGCCTATAGACATTGTCAAGCAATAAATAAATGATACTAATATGTTTGCATGATTTATTACATATTTTATTGGTCAAATTTTTGCCTATCATGGGCCAAAGTAGAAATATAATCTGCTCTTGGCATGCTGTCAAAAGCATCAACAACAAATTTTAATCTTTCTCTTGCATCTAGGGACCTCTGTTTTCTTCCAGTGTTGGTTGTTGTTGTTGGTTTGCGGATTTTTGTAAAAATGTTACCGGATTGTATGTTTTTTTCTCTCTCTTTAATATTTTTATTTCTCTTTGAAATACATTGTCTAGGCATTCAATGCAATCTTATGTTATCTAGGCATAATGTTATCCAGGCATTCATGAATCTAGGCATTGTGTTCTCTAAGCATTATGAACTAGGCATTCAAAAATTAAATCTAGGCATAATGTTATCTAGGCTTTCAGAAATCTAGGCATAATGTTGTCTAGTCAATCAAGAACTAGGCATAGTGAACTAGGCATTCACGAACTAGGCATTCGGGAACTAGACATAATGTTACTGAGCCAAAAGTATTTCATGCAAATTACATCCAAAATGGTGAATTACTACTGCATTTGGTATTTCAGACTGCTTAATTATATTAAATCATTTCAGGATAAACATTGAAAGTAATCAAGAAAACTTAGAAGATGGAAGAGAAGATGGAAGAGAAGAAGGAGACAGAAAAGAGAAGGAAAGGTTTGATGATAATGAACATGGTATTGAGAATGAACTGAAGGATAAAGAAGGACACATTGAGACGGGTTTAGAGGAAGGAAATGAAGAGAAGGTTGAAGATTATGACAACAAGGACACTATGAAGGAGGTGGTTGATGAGGGGAAGGGGGTGGAAGGGGAGGTTGATGGAGATTATGACAACAAGGACCCTATGAAGGAAGGAGTTGAAGTAGTGGAAGAGGGGAAGGAGTTGGAGAAGGGGAAGGTAGTTGAAGAAGAAGAGGAAGGGAATAATCTGCCGAATTATGACGAGAAAAATAAAGGAGAAGATGATGGATTAGACCCAATACAGCGGCAGAACGAAGAAAAGAATTCTATGAATGAAATAAAGGAAAATCAGGTAAACTAAAAATGTCCACAGGAGAAACCTTTTTTCTTCTTTTTGCCATTTTGCCATTGGAAAAAGTTAAGAAAAGTGCCAAGGGTATTAAACAAAATGAATTAATTAAATTAACTTAACTAATCTAAAAATGTAACCTCTCTAGTCAATATAGTCTTAATTTTCAGTGTTGATTTTGTTAACGTTTTTTTTATGTTTTTAGAAATTTAAAGAATACCCTTCAATTAAGAAAAAGTTTTGTTTTAACCAATGGGAAAGCTAAGGGTCCAATAAAAAATTAAGCAAGCCGTACCTTGTTCATTTTTCTCTCCTTAAAAAAAGATTTATTAAAGAAATTACGCAATTTACAAAAAAAAACAAAGATGCGGCAAGGTTGGATAGTGTTATGTTGCTTGTAAAAAGTGTCGATTGATTGATTTAACTTTTCAGTTGATTATTTCATTTTTTCCATTCAAGGACATGATGGTTGACGACCAAGCCCCTGCTGATGATGAACAAGGAGACGATGATCATGAGATTGGTGCTGAGAATGATAATGATGGAAAATAGATTAAGATCTTACGACTGGTTTTTAGGATTCAATTAAATTTTTTTTAAAGTCAATGCTATCATTGTATCTAAAAAATAATTGAAGGAATGTAATAATTATGTTGTCATCATTTTGCATTACACAAATTATTTTAAAGTTTGTGATATTTAAAAATTGTCGTCATTTATTCTTGTAAAGTTCTGAGTTTTGAAAACTCCATGATTTCTTTACTTTTTTTATAGGAACAATTTATTCACTTTGAAATTATGGACTAGGATCACTGTGTGCATTGAAAATGATTTATTAATGAAATATTAATAATGTAAAATAATCTCGTATTTCTTTTGTACCAGAGGTCAGAACTTTAGGGACTAGAAATTGGTAATCTACTACACTTTAAAACAGACGAAAAAAATTTGCGATTAATCCTTGTAAAATAATTGACTCATATTTCGTGATTTTTGATTGGCCAGAGGCTAGGGGTCTGATAAGTCGTTCTTTAAGCACTTTATATTCCAAGAAGAACATGTAAAATCTTCCTGACCCTCAAAGGTAATGATTAGTTCTTTCTAAAGGGATTAACGATCAAAAGTTCTGACCTCTGAATTTTTATTTGTGACATTGGGCACAAAATTGCTGTGAATGCATTTGATCACAAGACACACAGTAACTTGCAAACCAAATTATATATTCTGTGATATTGAATTATCTTGCTTTTTTCTTTCTAAATGTAATTTCTAAAATTATAGCAGGGCCGGGTGCATCTTTTTTTTATTGGCAAATCACCCCTTCTTAAATCATTCCCCCCCCCCCCCCCGAAGATTCAAATGTTAATTAACCTAATTGGTAAAAATCAATGATTGATAACCAATTGTTCATTTTCCCACGATCATCAAAAATAATTTTTTCCTTCCCGCTTGGGTTACACTTAACTGAAAGTTGCCACTATGACAGAGTAATCTTGTATAATTTTAAAAAGCGGTGACTAAGCAGAAGTTAGTTTCTAAAAGTCGTAACTTATTCGAAAAATTCACAACATTCTCCTGCTCATAGGTTTACTTTTTGATATTTCTATTTGAGTGAACATTTTTTACTAGTTCTGAGCTGGAAATTTTTGTTTTAAGTCTAGGAATTCAACGGTGGAACACGATATCTAGTGGAGAAACTTTAATGGGGACCAGACTTTTAAAGTCTTTAAGTGGAGAATTCGGCTTTTAATCCGCCAATTATGACATAATCAACGTATAAATCTCCATCTAAGTTTACAGACTTAGCCTCACAAAAGTTTCGGCCTCTGAATGGACAACTTAAACATTTAAATTTTTAATTTTTCTCTTTGGCATTTATTTTAGCATTACCGGCTTTCAAGCCTTTTACCAAGGACTTATCAAGTTTACATTGAAACTGGTTTTAAGACTGTCAAGTCTATCATAATAGACTTTCTAACTTTATATGAGAAACTTTAGACTTGCAAGCCTTGTATTTCTTCTTGTTTTAAGTCTTTCAAGTAAGTCTTTTATTCTGATCGAAGACAATTTAAGACTTGAGCTGTTTTAAAGAATTTAGATCTTATACTTATTCTAGTTCTTTATTTAACTAAAAATTATATGTTTGTCAGCATAAATTTAATTTACATGCTTAATATGCACTTCGTAACTTTTGGCAGATAATGCAGAAGATCACATTTACCCTTTTCCTCTACTGCTTATATTTTTATGTTGTTATAGTTTTATTTCCACAATTGTATATTACCAAGTTCACTTTGTGCTTAATACACCAACTGTGATTTTATATTAAGGTGTTATTCTGTTTTGTTTGTTTTATATTTTTACCACACTCACGATTGCATTCCGTGAATTTTTTTAGTCTGTTTTATATCCAGATCCGAATGACATTTTCACAATATTTGCACCTCAGGTTTTAATAAATAATTATAACACAGCGTCTGCATATGGATAGAAGTAAGAGTTCCATTTTTTCATTGGACATTTTTAAAAAATATCTCAACCCCAAATCGCTTAAAATCACCAACGCTTATTTTAATTATTATCAAAATTAAGAGATTTAAATTTACAACTTTAGATCCATTATTCACGATATGATTATAGCCATTTAACACCTTTTTCTTATTTTGGCATCAAACGGTTAAAATTACGTTGGGAGAGAAAAAGATAACACTAAATTATATAATCATTCAAAAATAACAGTCATAAGATTTTATCCACAAATTTAACCAAACACATATATAATAATTTTTTACCAAAAATAAAACTTTTGTCTAATAATATCTTTTTTCGACTAATATAACCATTTTAAATACTTGATTGCTAAGTTTTTTATTTATCAAAAATATCACAATTTTCGGAACCTTTTTTGTTGAAATTGTTGACATATCAATAAATTTTTTGAATTAATAATATAATCAACTTTGTCAGCTAAAAATATAACCAATTTTGTTACTAAAAATACAATTGTGCATTTTTTCCCTTGATCTGAAAGGATTTAAGACGTAACTTCAAGTTACCGATTATTGATTTTCAATTGTGGTTTCTCCACAATAGTGATTTGCGCATTCCAACGAGCGGGGGAAGCCAGGCGGCCATGAGCCACCACTATTTCCCCTTCCGTACCACCACATTTGACTCTTCCGGGTAAAACTACTTTTTGAAATAGTATATTTAGGGCCTTTAAAGTGTGATTTTAAAAAATCCAGCCGCGTCACGCAAAAAAGCACAACTCAAACCATTTTTTCAATTCAGGGTGGCCAAAATGTACGGATTGTACGGATTGATTTTTTTTAACCCTAAAATTGTACGGATTGTACGGATTTGTTTTCAAATTGTACGGATTGTACGGATTTTTATCCTGGAAAATACACCGTTTTTTTTTTAATTTTCACTCATTTCAGCAAATTTTTCATGAAAATTAAAAAAAAAATTCTCGTCAAAATGAAGTTAGTTTAACTTATTTTCTGCATTCTAAATAATATTAGATTGATTAATGTTTCAATTGACAATCAAAATTCATTCATAATTTTCGAGATATGTCCAAGAAGTGTTTATTTGAGAATATGTTCCATAAGTACTTATTTGATTGCTTATTCAAGAAGATGTTCCAGTATCCTGTACCCAGTATCCTATTCCCAGTATCCTGTACCCAGTATCCTGTACCCAGTATC